GTAATGGGAATTACAGAATATTTGTATGGTGTGTGTAGACATGTTCTCAGTGTCTCTTTTGTTTAAAAGTCAGTGCTTACATAGTTTGGTTCAGAGAATTTCGTTTGTGTGGATACGTTTGAAATTGTCTGTTTTCGATCTTCAGAAGTTGAGGATTGCAGTTGACATGGTTTGGTTCTGAGAATTTCGTTTGTGAGGATGACGTTTGATATCGTCTGTTTTCGCTCTCCCCGGAGGTGCTAACCGACGTGGGTTTTACTGATACTTGTCTACTAGTCTACAATTATAGGTAACCTAGTCTACACTAATCTACTCTACTTTATTCTCATGTGGTGGAAGGGTAGTTTTTATAATAATGAGGGTAGGATGATGAAATATCATTCTTTTCTATCATCACTGATGACAAGGTTATTTTTAGAATGGTGAAATATCCTTGATTTTTTTATCATCACTGATGGTAAGCTTATTTATTTAGACCATAACAAACTGTTCGCTAAATGTATTTTGCATTTACGTATTGCTATTGTTCAAAAAAATAAATATCTTGAGATTGAAGTGAGTCCTTTGTAATTCGAGGTAGCGAAAGGTTATAAGTCAGATAGGAAAGTCTAAAGTTTAGAGGTTAGACCTTGGTAGTAATTGTCATCTTAGTAACACATGGCGGCGTCAGAAAATGCAAAAAATGTCTTAAGCAATTGACCGATTAACCTCTTCACGCAACACGCATAGCTTATTTCTCTGGCGGTCCCTTCTCCCCTTCTGCCTCCCGACTGACTGTTTATAACCTTTTTTTTTTTTTTTCTACAAGGCTATGGTGCGGAGTTTGGTTTCGGCTAATATCAAAAGTCTCTTTGTTTTAATTTTTTTGATTGGTCCAATTTATTTTATCTTCCGGTGTTCCTTTCCTTTTCATTTTGTTATATAGCGCAAGTTATGCGTGGAGCTTCTCATATTTTGGTAGATTTCTAGCCACAAATAGCTAGAGACTGGTCCAGAAAACTTCCGCCGTTTTTCGGTCGGGTTCTGTCTTTTCTTCTTCTTTTTATTTGAAGGTTTCCTTCTCATTAGTTGAGAGAGAAATATATAGAGAAGTATTTATAGAGAAGTTTAGAGACAGAGAAAGAAATAGATAACAGCTTTAAAGGAAAGCGCAAATGATTTATTTTAATTGTTTTTATTTATGTTTATATATTTTATTTTTATATTTTACTTTATTTTTATACAGATTGTATCACATGATTTCCCCAATACTGCAAATACAAATGTTTTCTCCTATAATTGGATGCAGGCAAATTGTGAATGGTTGATATATTCAACCTCAAAGGATGTTAATTTCTTGTAAGTCAGAAGGCTAAAAAAATAAACATTTGATGTATAATCAGTACAAAAATTGTTCAAAAGACTGGAAAAAATTTGAAGCTATTATTTTTTCAGATGAAAGGAATATTGATCATTTAGAAAACTATCATGCCTAGTGTGAATCGTACTTACCTAAACGAAAAACAATTGATAGCATTAAGCAACAGAACATTAATCAGGCAGAACAGATATGGCGACAAATTTTGCAATGCTTGATTAGTTTGGTAATACAAAACTTTATTACGCGGTGTAAATAAAATGTTGTACAATGCACGTAGCAATGGAAATTTTATAATTTGAAGACTTTATTATATCTTCTTTTTTTTTTTTTCATCTTGAATGAATAAACGGCTGTGTTGAGTTGCTGAAACAATGCAAAAGAAATCCAAAATGAGATTTTACAACTTCTTTGTACAAACTCAGGGAAATACTATTCAGTTATTTTGGATTGAACACTTGATGTTGAACAACGGACAATTATTGTTCGTTCTGCTGGTGTAATGAAGCCACCAGATAATAAGATGTCTGAGCCTGAAGTCATCGTGAACATTTGTTGGGATTTGTTCCATTAAAAGAGACTACAGACGCCCTTATAGCAGAAACTCTTTTTGAACATCTGGGGCAAATGGAATTATCAATCGAAAACCTTCGTCGTCAAGGTTATGATAATGGGACTAAGAAAGCAAATAAAATGAATACAAAAGATAGTCCTGAACATAAACACGGGCGATTTTTGTTATGCAAACTCTTTTTATCTTAGTAGTCAATGCTGATGCTTCGTGTTGTCTGGAAGCAAGTACTTTCTTCAGTTTAGTTCAATAGGTCTCTAATTATTTTTCAACGTCAACTAAGAGTTGGAAAATTCTAGCTAGCACAAATTCAAACTTAATTTTTAAACTATTGATTGAAATTAGTTGGATAGATTCAGATCGATGGCTTGAATACATTTAAAAAACATCTTGATGTATATGATGCTTTAATAGAGATCTGTGATAACACACTTAAGTGGTTCATATAGAAATACTTCCTAAATTGAAGTTTAAGTTTGTGGTATCTTTTTTAAGTCAATATCCCAAGTAAGTATGTTTGATTTGAATTCAACTATAAAGCAATTATGAATAACTAAGAATTATCTTGTAAACTGCAGTTGTGATCAAAGTTTTTAACAGGCGTTGACAGATGCTAATGAGATTGCAAAGGAACTGGACATATAGTCAAATATTTTTAGTAAGAAAAGTTAGAAACAGGAGAGAGAAACGGTAGTTTGTGCATGAAGGCAAAGAGTCACAACAAAATCCAAAAACATCAAAATAGTTTGTTACTATTAGAGAGCTACACAATATAAAACAGTATTTGGCTTTCTGCATGATATATATGGCATAAAGGAAAAACCCTACTGACTATTACCGCACAGGATACTGCTGAATGTTGTTGGCATGGTTTCGACAGTGTTATAAAATAAAATAAGACATATCTCGATTGATTTACAGGCAAATAAACTAACATACTCAAGAGCCGGATGTGAACGGGACAAGGCCCCGTCACAGAATGACCATTATCGTCATTTACGAACGTTCCCGACGCACAAGTTCCGGTCGAAAAAAAATATATGTAAAGTGTTTCTATTTTTCGACCAATAAAAATGCTTCCCTCCTAATTATACTCGCGTCGTTTTTCGAGCCTGTTAAGCCATAAAAAATAACGCCATAAAATGGGTCACAAGGAAGTACAACGGCAGTCAACAGGTGGCCAGGAGTCAGTCGTTCAAGTCTGAACCGACTGTTCGGTTGAACTCTCTGCCTTCGGGCGGGGAGGAACTCGAAGGAGGCTACGCCGAAGGGCGGATTCTCTTTCGGGGAGGTAAACCGACCCTGAACCCGTTTATGCGGGTTCAATGGACATATTTTTAGCCGGGCCCACGGGCTCGGAGATCCCACATTAAAAAAGCATTGTGCCACATGACGCCCTCGTGAGGGGGGGGGGTGACTGAATATCGTCAACAGGTGGCCAGGGAAGAGACCTGTCATGGTCAGGCCGAGCGGTCAGCAGCAGCCAGCAGGAGGAACGCTACCCAACCTGTGGGGACTATTATGAGAGATCAACCCAGATCTTCAGCCGGCCTATGAACTATATCACAAGGAAGCTGTCCCAAACCCATACGTTCCTGTTGAAATAAATCACGTAAATCTATTTCTGTTGTTGTCGTATTTTCTTGCAAACATACGCTTGTCTATAACAACAGTCAAATGAAGGCGTTTACTATTAATCCTTTTGCCGACAGCAAACAAGAGAAAGAACGAACGATCCTTCGTATGCTCAAAACGAAGAATAAAACACAATCAAACAAATTTAAATACGATTAAATCAAACGATGGTGACAATTGTGAAAAAAAGATCTCAAAAGGATTACAAAGAATTCGTAAAATATCTAAAGAAATAAAGTTCAGGAAAACAAATGTCTTTATATGTACGGATACACGAGTGTGTGTGTGTGTGTGTGTGTGTGTGTGTGTGTGTGTGTGTGTGTGTGTGTGTGTGTATATATATATATATATATTTATGCGTGTGAGTGTATGCGTATATAATTATGGATAGAATTAACTCACTAAGGAATTTTTTTTTATGTCCGGTCGACGTAGGTGGGTTTTCGGGCAAGTATTTTATCTCGTTTGGGTCGATCTTTCTGTATGGCATGAGTACCCAAAAGAGAAGACTTTCTGCAGCATAGAGTAAGCAAATACTCCGTGTGTTTGCCGTTATGTGCTTCTTGTGAGAATTTTGTGCGGCTCCAAATAAAAGTCAAATCTTTTTGTCGTGTTCTCATTCGTTGAAAAGAGTTACTTGATGTGCTTACTACGACGTCCAAGTGGTGGTGTCTGTTTTACGTGTTTATTTTTAGTTTGTTTTTACGTGTCTGTATTTAGACGTGATTTAATTGTAGTTGAAGAGGGAATTTCGAAATGTATATTTATTTATTTTTATTTTCGAAGTCCTAACGAAGTATATATCAATATCACTTCCAGTATCAGTAGTGAAAATAATTTCTCGAAACTCAAGTAAAAATTGATCAACATTATGCTTTAAAGAGTAAAATATTTTAAACCAAATGTACTTTTTTACTGACGTATTTTTGTTTTTCCCTTTCGTCTTTTAACTGTTTTAAGACTAGATAATTGTGTTATAGAATTATTTTTATCGTTTATAGTTGAAAAGGGCGAAACTAAACCTAAGGTTATTGTTTTAGGTGGTTTTAAATTTTAGTGATTAACTACTTCAATAATTAAATGTGTAATTTTTCTTACGGAAACATTTTCTAGTACATGAAATAGTGGTGGTGTAAAGAGTACATACAGAAAATAACAGACCAATTGATTTGCAATCCAAAGGTAACTTTTATTAGGAACAAAATTAACAAAAGGAAAATTTAAAACAAGTGTTTCTTTTGTTACACGTAGATTGTATACACATGGAAATGTTCATTAATATGTTATAATGAGAACTTAACAACATAGGTGCAGAATATGATGCAGTTGTGATACCTGGAAGGGATCTTCTGAGAGATTTGCGTGGTGTTGTAGGTGTCGGTGCAGGCAGATCTAAATTCGATGCAGAAGAACCTTTAAGAATTTGGGATATTCTAGGAGACTCAGTGGCTGGCCCGAGGCGTTTACCCAACTTTTGGAGATCTAATCAACCTGTTGATTCTGGGAACACTCGTTCGTTGCTTGATCTTCAAACTAGAAAGAAGAGGCGGCGGGCAAGTTCAAAAGTGCTTTACGAACAACAACATGATGAACAAATCCCTCTGCTGGCCGACGTGCCAGGTATTACACCGAAAAAGCATCGAGGGTCCTTACGACAAATTTCTTATGTCCAGCGTATGGACATCGATGATAGAAACAAAATTCGAGCTGAGTTAAGTAACACTTAACAGTAACACTAACAACAGAGACAGCAATAGTAGTAGGAAGTACTTATTACTTGATCGATTAAGCCCAGCGTCGAAATTACTACAAACTTTGAAGTTTCGACAAAGTCTGTAACTTCCTTCGCCTTCCTCATTTTTTCCATCATCATTATCATCTATGTCTTCATCATCATCACCTTCGTTGGTAAGCACAACCCAAACAAATGGAAGGCCTACGACGCTCAATGACATTTTTATCAGTGTCAAAACAACTAAAAAATTTCACGAAAAACGATTGAAACTAGTTTTGGATACATGGTTCCAGATTGCTAAAGACCAAGTAAGTTGATAAGTTTTAAAATGTTTTATTATATTTGAAATAATAGGTAAAGAAAAAAAGAGTCTCATGATTGCTTCCTGGAGGCCATATAATTTGAAGAGAGGCAAGGCATGATTGATTTTAAAATACAATTTGTATTGATAATCAACGAATGCTGGATAAGGAAATACGCTGTTTTTTTTTTTAAAGTTAAATCATTCGATCGTGTATCCTCTGGTGTCTATTAGAAAGGCCGGAGAGTACACAACAAAATGCTGTGAAACTTTAATAGCCAAAGACAAAGGAAATAGGCCGGACAAACCACTTACAATGATTAAAACACCCGACCTAATAAAATTCAACCCAAGTTGTACGAAAAATCGAAGGAATTTTTACTTTATTTTTGTTGGCACGATGACGGTAAGTGAAAACCAACTTTAAGGAAATGGTCTTAATCCCGAATAAACAAATCAGAAGACTTCTTTGTTTTGTTTGCAATCTTGACAGCAAGAGTCTTTTTTAATTAGTACTTATTTTTGAGGGTTCAAATTTATTTAAATACTTTGTCCAAATGCAACGAAACTATTTTTACTGTTATTTTAAGACGTGTTAGTTAGCACATCTCGTACCAATGACTGACAAATATATACCCAAACATTCCATAAACAATTAATTATGGTTTTTCACTGACATTGAACCAGTTTCACTGACAGGTTATCTGGTCTTTTAGCAGCTTTCCAGTATGGTATTCCAAGAGACCAAAGGAGCATATCTATGGTCCAATTTTCAAGCTTTCTTTTTATGGAAAATATTTTTTATTCAAGCTTTTTGGTAAGCTGTGGTGTGTTAAAATTGCTAGCTTTGTCTAGGGCGCAAAATAGTCTGGCATCGGCTTTGGCATTGGTCACGGGCATGACATGCCTTTTCGTCTCCTACGACCATAAGACCTATGTCATTGGAAGTTACCTTATCTATATATATGTCTGAAAGAGAATGTTAAAATTTGGAGCATGCCATCTTTCATTTATGGCCTTAGTAGGTGTGTTAAACATGGGGAAACCTGAATATATATATACACACACACACACACACACACACACACACACACACACACACACACACACACACAGTATTGGGGAAAATATTAGAATAAATTCTGTAGCAGTAACAGGAGACCGTGATGAGGATTAATAACAACAGTGGCTCACGCGACACAAGAGACATGGATCGAGAATTATACAAACTTTATTACAAAAAAAAAAAAAGTTACGGTTTAACCTGGGACTACACAAGCATTGCGTGCTGAAAATATGAAACTTGGTACCGGGAAGAGAGGGAGGAATCAAGAGATTCAACCAGAGACTCTGCCCGACTGCGACTCAGTCAACACATTCTCCAGGAACGGTCTTACCAGGAATATACAAAAGACTATATGTAAATATTATGTACACTTTCATGTTTTAATACATTTTGTTCTAAGTACATTTTGTGTTGCATTATTATTCCATGCATTAGGCAAGTTTCAAAAGTTAGGAAAACAGGTAAGTTCCCGAACACGCAAACAAAAGCATTAAGACATAGTATATACAATATTCTTCATTTACTTAAAAGTGGTAAATACCCGAAAAGTTGCAAAGATGAAAAATGGATAGTAATGCCATAACGAGAATTTGGATCCGAGAAGAAAGGAATAAAAAGGATTCAATTTTCAAACAGCGTGTATTCGTTTAATATACCTGATACATTTACAGTTGGCAGAAAATCGCTAAAAAAACGTTGATATGTCGTTTTCGATTGCTGTTTGTCAAGAAAGCGATTAGATGTAATGGTGCTGTCGGCAGTGCCAGAAGTTTACTGATTTCTCGAGTTGATTTGGCCGTGGTCACAGGATAGGTCCGAAATGGATTTACCCATTGGTTGGTCGATCGTCTGTGATGGTGTTGATGGGCAGGAGGTAGTGTGATGCCGAAATGTTAAAGCCGAACAGCCTGGTGAGGTGGTTTGGCATGTTGATCGATCGTGGTCACGATAGTGGCCTCATTTCTGGTAGTGTGCAGTTATTGCCGATGTGGCGGTAGCGACGAGGAATTAGGTATAGCTGGTAGGCCTGTAGTGGGTCAAGCGGAATGTTTCAGTTGGATTTGGGTCGAATGTTGTATCAACGAAACGGGATCGCGGTGGTGACGGCGAGGGTAGGCCTGTAGTGGATGGTTAAGGCTGATCGTTGGAATGTCTCTGTCTCGACGAGGGAAGCCTGTAGTTGTGTGGGGACGGCGTCGAGGTGTTATAAATCACTGCGGTTGGATTCAGGGGTCTGGCGGTATCGAAGCTGGTCACTCTGTGTGAAGAGTCGGGTGAGATTAGTGAAGCCTGGGTGAGGTAATGGTTGTGTTGAGAGAAGCGGTCATGACGGTGACAGTGCGCCTGCGTGTCGGTAGGTGGCCTTTCGGCTCACCTCTGTGTTGGTCGTTACAAGAGGTTTTGCCTTTAAGCAGATCTGTCAGTCTCAAAGACCATCTCTTTTTCTGGAGGGAACGCTCGTGCTTGGCCACTGTATCACTTTCATTGCGGGGGGGCTTGCTTAGTGTTACTGAACGTGATGCTCAGAGTGTATGCGCAGAAAACGACTTTTTTCTTTTTGTGTTCTGCTTTCTTGGCATTCCCATTCACTTCCGGTCGACATGCATACTGAATCAGAAAGAGATCTAAATACAGCGGCGTATAACAGTAAGAGAAACAATAGTTCACTTCAAGAGGAGCCTCCCCGTATCATTGTTGTATTAAGGACCTGGAATTTAGCTGAGAGCGACAATGTCTCCCGAGAGTAGAAGTTTTCGACTCCCTTTCATAAGTTTTTAAATTTCTTAAGTAGGCATCAAAGGTTCTTTATGATGACACCTTTGAAAAAAGTTATTGGCTGGTGACGATCTCATACTTAACCAGGATATTCCCAGAAGGACTGGGTGTTGATTAGCCGAGAGTCTCAATGCCATTACCACCAGAATGGGTCACGTAGGCATACCGCTAAAAACATCGAAGGGGTGAAGCGACTGCTAGCTAATAGACCGAGAAAATCGTGACATTAGCAAAATTTCTTGAATAGAAGCTGAGTCACATTTTCAAAATCCAGTAATTCCACCAAGGAAATACGATTTGAAATCACTAAAAAATATTTTCATAACATTTTTCAAGCCAGGTATCATTTCTTTCTATGTCACATCAACGGTCAATGACGATAAACCAAGTTGACTAATGACAAGTCAGAATACAAGGATGAAAAGATTTAAACAACTTTTCCTCTGGTGCAATATCTGCGTAAACAATGATTCTCCTGTTTAATGGCAGACTTGAAAATGCAACATTTATTCCAAAGTTAGAAGGAGACTCTCCTTCTCTCTAAATAAATATAGTGATCAAGGTTTTGTGAACCAGATGGATGTAGTATGTTTGAGTGATACAATCATGGCCTAGCAAGCTGAAGTTTCAATTTTGGATTGCATTTGTTACTTTTAGAAAAGATGTTTTTCTATAGTGCACTCTGTTTCCAAGAACAGCAACAGTTTTGATTTGTGCAAATAAAAGTCATTTAGTATAGACACAGTTTGAGTTGAGTATATTAAGATTTCTGTTAGTTAATTTAGAAGTTTCTCAAAAACACTTGTAGTAATGTCAGAAGAAGCATTTGAAAATGAAGTTTACAGGAGAACAGCTGTATTCAAGTGGCACAAATATTTTATTTTTAAAGAAGGTCAGTTACAGAAAATGACAATCACTCAGGTCAGGTCTATCAACTTTGATCTCGCTTGAAAATATTGCTGTTGTCCAAAGTGTTCTTGAAAAAGATAGTTATATACACATATGCTGCTACTAAGATCTGTTTTTATTATCTTTAAAAAAAAATTATTTTTTATGATCTTGAAATGAAAGGGAAAGAAGTATACAATCAAAATGAATTTTTCTGAGACAAAAAGCAAAACAAAAAAAAACAAAAAATCTACAAACATTTGATTATTTGTTTACTTTTTTATACTCGTTCTCTCAACTTCAATCGGTTCACGAACTTTTTGATTATACCTTGTATATATTCATGTGGGCGTCTGTCTATGCACACGGACTCGGGACTAATTTTTATGATTTTTTACATCATCATTTCTTCTTCCAAAGAGTTTGAAGTATCAAGCTATTTGGTTGGTTATTAGAGAATAGATACTTAGTGTTTAGTTCATTTTGTATAGGACAAAAAAATACGCTACATTAAAGGACAAAGCTAAAACAAACGCATAGAGAACATTGAAATGAAAAAGAATAAAAAAGAATTATTTACTAAGTAGAAAGTAAGTAATCAAGAAGAAAGAACATAAAGAAAATGGAGATATAAATAACAGAACCCCCCCCAAAAAAAAAAAAAAAATAGGTACAGTGTAACCCGGATGTAAGAGAGTTGTCGGGACCGGAGAAGAAGTCTCTTATATCCGGGTTTCTCTTATATCCGGGTTTGGTTTATTTTATATACATTAACACAGGCTCTAATTTGGGACCAGAGAAAATCTCTCTTATATCCGGGTTTCTCTTATATCCGGGTTTGGTTTATTTTATATACATTAACACAGGCTCTAATTTGGGACCAGAGAAAATCTCTTATATCCGGGTTTCTCTTATATCCGGGTTTGGTTTATTTTATATACATTAACACAGGCTCTAATTTGGGACCAGAGAAAATCTCTCTTATATCCGGGTTTCTCTTATATCCGGGTTTGGTTTATTTTATATACATTAACACAGGCTCTAATTTGGGACCAGAGAAAATCTCTCTTATATCCGGGTTTCTCTTATATCCGGGTTTGGTCTCATTTATATACATTAACACAGGCTCTAATTTGGGACCAGAGAAAATCTCTCTTATATCCGGGTTTCTCTTATATCCGGGTTTGGTTTATTTTATATACATTAACACAGGCTCTAATTTGGGACCAGAGAAAATCTCTCTTATATCCGGGTCTCTCTTATATCCGGGTTACACTGTATGACCAAAATGAGTCCGCATTTTTGATAGTGCAATACAAAGTAACGCAATCTTCAATTGCTAAAAATCAAGAAATAATCCGATTTAAATCAAATTTTCGATACTTATTCATTAGTAAATTAGTTTCTTTTTTATGTTGAATATGTCATTATTTTAGAAAGGTGGATTTTTTTATTGGTGGTTTCTGTTTCGATATATAGCGTTTATGTTTGAAGAACCGAAAATAAATTCTATTTTCGGGTGTGGACATTTTTAAAAGGAATTACTACTTTTTTTTTTTTTCAAGCGTTAGATTATTTTTTGTACAAAAAATCAAAAAGAAACTAATTCAATAATTCTGTGACTACAATTAACAGCATTAAATTCAATAAGTATCCCAAGAAATAGAACTGAAGATATTTATTTCCAAAGAGGTAGAAACAATGATCTGGAATTGGAATGAAAGTAGCGATGGCACATGTAAATGCATCATAAAAATTCATAATGTAACGCTTCAAAAAATCGGTGTATGGATCAGTTAAGAAGAAACAGTGAGATACAGAAATTGAAAATAGGCTGTAGAGGTAGTTTCGTCCAACACTGCAAATTGCTACAAAACCAAAAAACATTAATGTGAAAACTTGAGTCATGTTCTTAAATAGCCTCGTCAGATGGAGACTTTCATATGGATGTTACGCACGGCGCCAAACACGTTCAGAAATAGATAATCTGTCAGCTGTATACAACCGTTTTCTAAGATCAATGGTTAAAATGGCTTTGAGCGAGTGAAGCCTCTAGATTTTAGAGAAGATCATTCTTCTTCGAATATTGTGGATTGGCACTACAAAATCACGAGCAAAGAACTGTACCAAATAACAGAAACCACATCACTTGAAGACTTTCAACAGCAGCAACAACTAAAATGAATAGCACATGTAACTCAAAGTTAAAACAATGACATATAATAAAGTTTGATGCTCCATATTACTTCAAATAAAATGCTAGAAAAGGGATAACAACTACTGAGTTTGAGAAACCTTTTTTTCTGAAAAAATGTTTAAAAAATTTTTTTTTATAACTTTCAGCCGAGAGTAGCATGGCTGCTCGCTCAGTGAATGTCAAATGTTTCCTTATAAGGGAACGGCTATGTCTATTTATTTTTCATTTCCTTTTTTTGTTTAATAAATTTTAAAATCAGAATAATTAAAAAAATACCTCATTGAATGCAATTAAATGTTTTATGATTTCAAACTGCCAGGAAAATAATAAAAGCAATAAATTAAACTCTAAAGTAACTAATTTAACTTAATTACTTTTACAAGTTAATTTAACTTGTTTTTAATTAATTTTTTATACTAGTATGAAAATATAAAATAAAATTATTAATACTCTTGAGTTTCAAAAAAGCCATAAGGATAAAAACTATAAACTATTGGTTTTATAAGGTCAAAGATAATATATTTTTAAACTTAAATAATATAAATTTACAGATTGTAGGAGTTATGGTCCTCCGTATTTAGTTAATTTTTACAGGCGGTTATTAAACGTTGGGGTGACATTAAAAGACTCCTGTTAATAATGACAAGTGGGTCATCGTATGGAAATAAACGTAATTTTCGCTAAGTTTTAAGCAAAAATAAGCATTATTTTTACGAAATACAGTTGTATTTAATTTAACTGAGTTAATCAATTCTTAAATTTTCTAATTTATTTTGAAACAAATCTCTAAAAATATGTTGGATTTTTAAGACATTTTAAAATTTGTTGTTCTCATTTTCCGTCTAGAAAAGAAGAGGTTGGATGGATGATCGTGCCAATGCTTTTAAAATGTCTAAAAACTTTATTTAAATATGCATTTTTATACTATTATTTATGTTTCAAAAACAAGAAATTATCTTCAAAGACATTTTTTTTAATTATTTAAAATGCATTTTTAAGTGTTTTTTGTGTCTTTTTTTACATCCATCAGTACGTAGACAACAGACTTAGTGACTTTACGACTCGTTGTTTACAACAGAATTGATAATCGAAAAACATGCTTTTAAAAAAGTTGTACAATTCAAAAATAAACTGTTCAACAGCAGCAATTCATTTATGATGATAGAGAGAGAGCATTTCAATCAACTGTACTCAGAGACGCTAGTGTTTTTGCCTTTTTTTTAAAACTTTTTTTAGTACTTAAAACTCATCATCTCAGCAAAAACAGCAGCCCTAGCGACAAAATAATTATTTTTATTTAATTGAGGCTGATATTGGTCATGATGTCTACTTTCAATTTATCCTCAGTTCGATAATTGAAACCTGATTGAACAGTGTAGCTAAAATTTAAAAAAAAATTCAATTGTTCATAAATTTTAATTTTTCAAGTAATGATGCATTCTGCGCGGAGAAATTATATTTTGAAGTGAAAAATAAAGTTATTCAATTAGGAATTAAGTTTAGAAATTATTTTTTTTCAAAGCCCTTGTGCTTTTTTTGAGGAATCAGTAATCTAAGTTTCTGACCACTGTTATTTTAAAAGGATTGATTTTTATTTTCAAAATATTAATTATTAATATTAAAAAGTAATAATTGCAAAAAAAATCACATGGACATTTTTGTTGCCTTACCCTTTCAAAGCAAACGACAACGAAGTTTGGAAACTCAAAAAAAAAAAATATCATTAATTTTTATAACAAAATCTTTGTCAAATTTTTAAAACAGTAAATTTGTGTCTTCTGAACTAATTTTTTCAGGAATTAGAAATAACTTTAATGAAAATGAGACTATCAACAAAATCAATAGAGCATTTCATACAATAACAAAAAAAAGGTTAAGACTGAGAAGTGACTAAATTTTAAGAAAAATAAAAATATAATTAAAAGTAAAACTAAAAATAAGACATTTATCATTAATACATTACAAATATTGTTTCGAAAAAGTTCTTAAATTTTAAAACGAAGTACCAGTACCTATAGGAAGAAAAATATTACTTAAGGTTTTTAAATTGTATTTTTTTTTATTTTTTTACTAAACTAAACTCATCAAATTAAAAAATAAATAAAACTAAACTTTTGTTATATTCTGTTTTTGACTATTTATTTAATATTTCAACTAAACCATGAATTGGAATACTTAAAAAAAAAAAAAAACTATACGAATTCAAAATCTGGCTTGTGATTATTATCGATAATGCGGAAGAAATACTTTTTTGAATTTAAAAAAAATCTTTAAAATTCGAATTAACATTTTTTATCACATTATTCTATTCCACAAAATACTTTTCGATTAAAAATATATTCTGTCAGTGTGAAAAATAAAGCTGTCAGTTGTTTTAAATTTAAAAAAAACAAAAAAAAACAAGAACATTCATACTGTACTGAAGAGTTTTCAACTCAATGCGTTGAAAAAAGTACGTAATTCAAAAGTTTATAAATTCAGCGCCTGTTGAACACGCATGCGCCGTAACCTCTAACCCCATTGACCTCGAACATGTCATTGGGGTCACAATTATTGAGTGGTCATTTTCCCATGGCTTTGCTTTGCCGAGTGCTTACATTCCTGTGGAGAGGGAGACAGTGTGTTTACACATGGCAAACAAAGAGAGTGGGAGAGATGGAAGCAGTAAGGTTGAACTAGTGGTTGTTGGATTTTTATGTTTATAGCAAGTGCTGGTTCAGTTTGGCGACTACATTCCCTCTCTTCTCGTCGCCTCAGTGAGAGAAGATCTAGTTTACGTGTGGACGTGTTTACATGTCTTCTTCTTCTCCATTTTATAATTGTGATTATTACCGGCCGTGTGATTTGACTTCAAATGCAGCTTTCGACGGGTACCAATACAAGAGGGGGGCCATGCGCGTTACGTTGCGAAAAGTGGTGCAGGGCTCTGCTTTTATTGCTTGCATTTTCCTCTTGAATTTCGTTTACTTCAACGCTTATTTGATCCAATGGAGACAGGGATTCTATAGGGGCTTGTCTTGGCGGGTCCAACATCGGGACATAGTCGTCGAGGACTTAAGAATTGGACCCCCAGGCCCTGATGAGTCTGTAAACATTAACAACATAGGTGCAGAATATGATGCAGTTGTGATACCTGGAAGGGATCTTCTGAGAGATTGGCGTGGTGTTGTAGGTGTCGGTGCAGGCAAATCTAAATTCGATGCAGAAGAACCTTTAAGAATTTGGGATATTCTAGGAGACTCAGTGGCTGGCCCGAGGCGTTTACCCAACTTTTGGAGATCTAATCAACCTGTTGATTCTGGGGACACTCGTTCGTTGCTTGATCTTCAAACTAGAAAAAGAAGAGGCGGCGGGCAAGTTCAAAAGTGCTTTACGAACAACAACATGATGAACAAATCCTCTGCTGGCCGACGCCCAGGTATTACACCGAAAAGCATCGAGGGTCCTTACGACAAATTTCTTATGTCCAGCGTATGGACATCGATGATAGAAACAAAATTCGAGCTGAGTTAAGTAACACTAACAGTAACACTAACAACAGAGACAGCAATAGTAGTAGGAAGTACTTATTACTTGATCGATTAAGCCCAGCGTCGAAATTACTACAAACTTTGAAGTTTCGACAAAGTCTGAAACTTCCTTCTCCTTCCTCATTTTTTCCATCATCATTATCATCTATGTCTTCATCATCATCACCTTCGTTGGTAAGCACAACCCAAACAAGTGGAAGGCCTACGACGCTCAATGACATTTTTATCAGTGTCAAAACAACTAAAAAATTTCACGAAAAACGATTGAAACTAGTTTTGGATACATGGTTCCAGTTTGCTAAAGACCAAGTAAGTTGATAAATTTTAAAATGTTTTATTATATTTGAAATAATAGGTATAGCAAAAAAAAAGTCTCATGATTGCTTCCTGGATGCTATAATTTGTTTAAAATTAAAAACAAGTGTTTCATTTTTTTTGTAATGAAAGTACGAAAACTAGAGAAAGGCAAGCCCGCAAGGCAAAGTGGATAATTGATTTTATTTTTATTTTTAAAATACAATTTGTATTATTGATAATCAACAGATATATACTGGATAAGGAAATAATCTGTTTTTTTTTTATGTTGAATAATTTAAAAATGTTTGTTCACGATCATTCAATTAATAATTCACTAAACATTTTTTCCCTAGTAAATAGTTAAAAAGTTTGTAAATAAAAAAAATGCCAAATTTATAACACCAAATATTTTTTTTATTAATATCTTGATTTTAAACTTTTTGTGCAACTTTAAAAATTTTAAAATTGACATAGACTAAATTGATAATTCAAGTACACACACACACACACACAATTGGTTTTGGATTGTTTTTTCATTTTTATGTTTGAGCATTGAATAAACTGTAAACAACTTTGAATAGTTTTAATTTTATTAATTTTATTTTTAAAAATGCATGAAGTATTTCATCACTTGAACAAACTTAGTTCGTGAAAAAATAGTTTTTTTTAATTAATTTTTTTTATTTATTACTGTTTTCTGCTTTAAAGAAAAATCTTAACTTTTTAAATTTAAAATGTTTTAAACTTTAAAAAGATTGATTGTTTTTAAATCCAACTTACGTTCCACGAGAGATATGAATTTTAAAAAAGTTTTTCCTTTTAACACATTTAGAAAACAACTAAGAATCTAAGAAATTTTTATACGTTTTTACTTTTTTCATGATCATTTTTTCTCGATCATTCGCCTCATTTTATTTCTTTTAATAACACATTTGAAAGCGAAATCTGAGTGTACTGAAAAACAAATAAAAATTTACGAAGTTTCACTTGTTGATACTCCCCACACTCCCTGTTACCTTTTAAAAATCATTTTTATCCACCCACCCCACTCCCCTGCTACCAAGCACTGTGTAGAGATACCTGTCCGTCTCTCAAGAGAGACCGTGGGAAACAGCTACCCCTAAGTGTATCAGCTCTTGTACTTGTCAGCCCAACCTAGTTTCACTCAGTTTCTTTATACACAGGAAAAGTAACCTGTTGATGGGTGACGAATTGCTATCCTCCTTCCTCCTATGAACCCCTCCTCCTCCTGCTTCTTCTTCTTAAGTCGCCCAAGCAACTAAAGAAACAGAAATGCCAGATGAAACCTCGACTATGATTACTTGTCTTAAACGATCCAAATGTAAACTTTTTTTTTTCTCAGGAAAAAAGGAACGTTTCTACTCAACTCCTTCGGTTTCTAATAGTAACTTAATTTTGACACTTTTTCTTTTCACTTACAAGTTTCAAATAAATTACTTGTGTCTGAAGCGTAAAAAATAAACAAATATAAATTACAGAAGAAATAGTATCCTACCAATTAGTTTTGATATGACTTATAAAATTTAATAAAAAGTATCTATTTTTTTTACTTTTAAATCGTAGTAAGTAATTTGTTTTTCATCTTCCATCATCGCTGACAAGTATTTATTTTTAAAAAGCAATATTTGCCTATTAAGTACTGGACGACACTTACAAATGTTATATTTCGTTTTAAGTTTTTTTCTTTAAATTTGCCAAGAAGAATATTAAGTGTGACTCATTAAAGATTGATTTGTTATCTATTGTTTTCTTAAATAATTTGCAGGACTCATGTCTTTTTTACACGATGAAACAGACACCAAACACTGTTTTAGCAAAGTCATGTGTTTTCAATCATTTCTACATTTCTCAATGTTCCACATTGACTCCACAAATAAACGTAGGACCTATATAAATTATTTTAGTTTCTTTTTCCACTATTTAAAGAAACTGTACATATGCTTGTGAAATACAGACTACTTTTGTTATTTGAGTCATGTGCTTAAAGTAACACTTTTTACTAGTTTTATGTCTAATAATATGTTCAGGTGTCACAGAAGAAAGGAAGAAATAGTCTTAGTGTTCTCTAACACAAGATAATCTCTTCTTTTTTCTCTCGTGTTTCCTCTCTTTTTCATGCTTCAGTATCCGCAAAATGAATTATCCCTCCTTAGTCACTATATCCCTAGAGGTACTGCTTTTCCTATACTTGAGTCATTAGCTAGACATACATGTAAAGGCAGAAGAAATTGATATATTAGTGTTGACTGACATGAATTTTGGTTGGGAAGAGAAGGGCTAAACAGGAAACAAAGATTTGTATTAGCAGAGTTACTATTATAATAAAGGGAAAGTATTTCCTAAATATTTTGAATAAACAGTTTAAAATAGAAATCTCAAACTGATCACATTTTGGCTATGACCTCAAGAGTCAAAAAAACATGGGAATTGTTAGCAGAAAGGTTCTCAGACAATATTATTTTCTATGGCATAATAGTTAATTAATATTCATGAATGAATTCTAATAAAAGACATTAACAATGTTGTCAAAGAGAGCACTTCATTTTGTCCATTGTAGAGTGCAGATCACTTTTGAGACAAATGGTTGACCTGGAGTAACTTTGATGCTCTTTGTGCATACCATAATTGGCTCATACATACTTCTTCTAAGTTAGGGAGCTGTCTCTTGCAGGTAAAGAGAACCTTAATTTCCCATGTTAAAAGGATAACTATAAAAAAATAACTTATTGAAGGTGTACTACCTATAAAGACATTTTAACATTTGAGACAATGTTGATGAGTATTCATCCTAAGTACTGAAAAAATTTACTTCTGTAAAGCTTGTCTTATCTGGAGTTTTTCCTTCTGTTCTTATCATTATAGAGCACAAACAAATTCAATGTATGGTAATGAAGATATGAAAAAAAACTAAAATTCCACTAAATGAGAATTGAATTTGACAATGTGAAGAAGTTGCAGTTGATCTAAGAGTGTATATAGTTATCAAAAAACTTTATAATGATAGGTATAACAGATGAGGATAAGCCATTAAATACATTGGTATATTTATTGACTATCAGACTAGTATAGGATAAAATCAAACCCTGCTATTATAGTCATGCAATTATATATTTGTGCCATCATTACAGTGTAATTTCTCCCTTAAGATTTATAAATTACAATCTCATGTCTCACATTCTTGTAATCTAATTCTTTTGGTGAACTGGAAGTTTCCCATGCGAACTCAAATTTTTGAGTTTAAAAATAGTTTCCTGAGATTATTTCAAGTATATATTGTGATTTTAGAAGTATAAAGCTGAGTGTAATGGTTATGTAATTGCGAAAGATTTATCTTGGAATTTGCTGCTCTGAAACTCAAACTAAAAAGAGATGTATACTTAGCAGAAGAACTAGAGTATTCCAACTATTTTTTTTTTTAATAAATTATGAGAATGTAAAACATGGGTGATTTTCAATGCCAGCTCATGAATTAATATAATTTTGATGACTGCCTGTTGATTGTCAATGAAAAAATGAACAATTAGAAATTATTTTTGCCTGACCAACTTGTAAAGTTAATAGCAGCTGAAAGCTTTACATTTGTTTTGCAACAAATAAAAATGGATGATAATTTACATTTTAGTTTGACAGTTGAATCCATAAATTCTGATCAGTGGTGCATTTATAGAAGAGGAAGTGATGTCTTATAATCTGAGACATTTCTTTCACAACTCTTGTACCTGGAAAGTAAGTAATAAAAGCTGTTTTGCTTTTAGACTATAGATAAGAAGCAGAAACAATTTCATGAATTGAACTTTTTTGTAGTTTTTTTTTTTTGATTTTGTTCAATAGTTAAAGAAATAAACTAAATGCTGATAAGTTTGGTATGCTTTATTGTAAATGTTATTATTACTGAACGTTCAATAATTAAAGCAAAATGTCACATTTGAATCCTTTTTACTAATTATTTGGTTCATGCTTTTAACTGTTATATTTATGTTATATATGGTAAAGATTTTACATTATGAGTGACTTAGATTAAATTTCAATTTAGTCTCAAAGTTCATGATTTGATGCTATTATTATTCATCAAAGAATTTCTAAAAAAGTAAAGCATAAAAAGTTATAAGATTTAATTTTTTTCTACATGTTTAACTTACCTTAATCACACATCACCCTTCACACACACACACTTACAGCTTTACCAAATAGATCATTTTTATTTCAATCTGTTAAAAGAATAAAATCATAATTAAAGTTTATTAAAATTAAGAAAGTTGGTTTAAAAAATATAATGAAATCTTTTTGTACAAATTTAATCCTGTTGGAAGTACACAACATTTGTCTTTCTGGAAATGTCGTAAAATATAGAAAATTTAACATAAAAACAATTTCATTTCAGTATCTTGCCTCCAATATAATGTTCATCTTCATATAACTTTCATGATGTGAATAACTTACTATTAAATACATCTATTGTTGAGATAATTGTCTGAATTGGAAAGATACAAATAACAAATAGTTCTGAACCATCATTGGAATTCATAATTTTGTTTGGCCATCATCTCTGTAATTTTCTCTTGTAATTTTCAAATTATTCACTAGTCATTATTGAATGAATTGGTATTGAGAATTTAGCTAATTCTTCATATTATTTTTATCATCATCTCCTAAGCCTATAAACAGTATGGTATGAATTACTTTCAACAATTATCTTTCTCTTTGCTATTATGAGACTATCCCACACAAAATTATATAAAACACTTACTATAAAAAAATTCTTTATTTCATTAAAGTATTTCTCCACCACCTCTACATATTTAGTTGAACTTGGCAGTAAGTTGTCAATTTTTTTCCTAAAGAACCAACAAATTCATGAAAACTTCTTCAACTGGATTTTGATTTGAAATGTTCTTGTCAAATGTAAAACACACTTACCTTTAAGAGGAACTGAGTGAATTAACAGAATAGTTGCAACTAATTTTACCTTAGTAATATAACTTTAGCAGCAT